GTTTGGTCGCTGCCATTGAGGTCAAGCCTGAAAACGTTCTAGGTGTGTCTGTGTGTGTGTGTGTGTGTGTGTGTGTGTGTGTGTGTGTGTGTGTGTGTGTGTGTGTTTGGAAAGAGGCAGAAAAATCACACAAAAATAGAGAAGCCTGGTGACCTCCACAGCAAGTCTTGGTGAGTCGAATGTGTGTGTGTGTGTGGTGTTGGTGGGGTCGAAGTGTCAATTTTTAACGCGAAAAATGCGAAGGAAACAAAGAAGCTTCAGGCACCTTTGCTGCCATGAGAGGTTTGAAACTGGTGTGTTGTTGGGCCTCCTTTTTGGAGCTCCAAAAAAGTGTTTGAGTTGGCGTCGCTTGAAAGGATCATTGTTTCATCTCTCCAGGCTATCGTTTTTCAACGTCCGGCTTGATGTCTCGGTTCCGGAACTACTTTCGTGGCGTGTGCTAGGCTCACAAGGCTTTGCAAGTAGTCCTCCCCTCCGAGTACTGTATCTGGGCGTGAAGCGGAAAGGGTAAGAACCCTAAGCCTTAAACCCGAAACCCAAAACCCGAAACCGTAAACCCGGAACCCCCGTCTCCAACACCTGGTGCCACATTTTCGGGGCTCCTATGCCGAAAGGGAAGTGTAAGATTCATCGTCGTGACCCCTCCAGCTACTCCTTGGCTTGGATGACAACCGTTTGAGCAGCCTTGTCCCGATCCCTGCCACAACCACGGCGACCCCACCCCCTGACGACATAGGGACATCATCATCTTTGGTCATCGCTCTAACATCTCCTTCCCGTACTCCCCCCGACTAGGCCTTGTAGAGGGACCCAAAGCCCCATACATCCCCCTCCCAAAGCCCATGGGCACTGCCAAACCCCTAAGCCCTAAACTTCTGAACTCAGTTACCAAGCCCCTAACCCCAACCCCAAACCCCAAACCCCAAACCCCAAACCCCAAACCCCAAACCCCAAACCCCAAACCCCAAACCCCAAACCCCAAACCCCAAACCCCAAACCCCAAACCCTAAACCCTAAAAAACCTTTTTTGGGGCGTCAAGTGGGACCGTAGATGTCCACCCTAAACCCTAAACCCGAAAGCCTGTTGCTCCCTGAGCCATGCCGCGGCGTCCGTTGAAGAAGTGCGCATCCAGGATGGGGGGTTTTAGGGAGAGGGGATTGATGGGTTTTAGTTGTTTTGGGCTTAGCGTGATTTCTGCCAGTGTTTGTCAAGCCTTTTCCCTTGGCCCCAAACCTTAAACCCACAACTCTCTAAGAACCTGAAAGATTAGACCCGTTTTTCTGTGAGACGTTGGCTGGCCCCAGGGTTTACGCAGGGTCTCCAGTGGGTTAGGGGGCATGGCTTGCTCTAATTTTTGGGCCTGCCATACTACAGGGACTATCGAAACCACACGCCACGTGAAACCCGAGACCCCAACGCCCCTGCAAAGAAGCGTGTGCGATTTTTGTGCTTCCCCCTGTTTGTGTGAGCTTCTGGCTTGGTCCCAGCAACCCAAAACCCTAAACCCTAAACCCTAAACCCTAAACGCTAAACCCTAAACCCTAAACCAACCCTAAACCCTAAACCCTAAACCCTAAACCCTAAACCCTAAACCCTAAACCCTAAACCCTAAACCCTAAACCCTAAACCGTAAACCCTAAACCCTGAACCCTAAACCGTAAACCCTAAACCCTAAACCCTAAACCCTAAACCCTAAACCCTAAACCCTAAACCCTAAACCCTAAGCCCCAAACCCTAGACCCTAAACCCTAAAGCCTAAACCCTAAACCCTGAAGCCTAAACCCTAAACCCGAAACCCTAAACCCAAGGATAAAGGTATGTTTTGAAGGCTAGCTGTGTTGCCGTGGGGCTTGTCTTGCCGCAGGCAGCCAAGACCTTCATGACGTGTGCGCAGAGACATTATTATTGTTATTGTTATTGTTATTATTATTATTCTTATTATTATTAGTATTAGTATTAGTATTAGTATTAGTATTAGTATTAGTATTAGTATTAGTATTATTATGAGTACTATTTTTATATTAACATAGTTCTTATTATGATTATTATTATGATTATGATGGTTATTATTATTGTCATTATTATTATTATTGTTAGTATTATTATTATTGTTATTATTCTTATGTTTATTGTTAATAATAGTATTCTTGGTATTATTGTTATTATGATTATTATTGTTATTATGATTATTCTTTTATGTTTATTATCTTCGTGTTATTATCATTATTGTTATTGTTGTCATTATTATTGTTAATAATTTTATTAATATTTTTATTGTTATTATTGTGATTATTGCTATTATTGTTATTATTACTATGGTTGTTAATATGGTCTTATGATTCTTATTCGTAGTGAATATCATTATTACTATTATTATTTGTACGTATTTGTATTAATATTATTCGTATTTTGATTTTGCTTGTGGTTGTTATTGTTCTTCTGCTATGCTTCTTCTTATTATTTGGTCAGCCCCCGCCATGGTCTAGGATTTTCTTTGTCCCTATAAAAACCCTCGTAAATACGGATTAAAACGACATGCTGGGCATGTAAGGCGAAGTCCTGTTTCTGCACGTCTAATCGTATGTGACAAAACCTGTCAATAGTGAAAAACTTGTGTGCTTAGCACTATTTGCACGTCATTACCCAAAAAAACACAGAAAAAAACGTACGAAAATGCAATTTCGTGAACATGTATGTGAATTATCTGCACAGGACAAGCCTATAAACACAAAATTGTATGCAAAACGCATGTTGTTTTTTGGCAAATTTTGCCAAAAAGTCCCAAAATCCAAAAACCAAAAAACTCAAAACCATGAAGCCGGGACACCGTTTTCTTTTGGATTTTTTGGTTTATTGAGGTTTTTTTGGTTTTCTTTGGAAAAAAAACCCTCGTGTTTTGTTGGATTTGTGGTGTTCCTGGCCTCAAAAACCGCCAAAACACATGTTTTGTGCAAGTTATGGCTTTTCTTGAATAAAGAATGTGTTTTGTTATAATTAAGTTGCTTCTTCTAATGCGACTGCCTTGCTGCAAGGCAGTCACGCAGAGAAAAACAGACACACACACACACACACACCCACCATTTCGTTTTGATTTAGATTCAGCCTATTCGGCACGTAGGGCGTTGTGTGAATATGTAAAGTTCCATTAGATTTAATTGCGAGTGGGGCTTGGAAGCGGATGTCTTGGGATGTTGCGTCTTAATATAGAAAGTAATATTAACAGAAATTAAGTTTAAGAGAGGGTTTCTTAAGGTGTGTTTCTGAGGTTGTGGACCTGCAATTCAAAAGTCTAAGTAGACTTAATTATGAGTGGGGCTTGGAAGAGAATGTCTTGGGGTGTGGCCTCCCAATTTAAAAGTTTATGTAAGTGGAATTAGAAACGAAGTCCAGGTGATGATTTCTTAGGGTGTGGGGTTTTAGTGCAAACCTCCAGTTACATTTCATTACGAAGCGGGGCCAGAGGAGAATTTCACGGGGTTTGGTCGTTGGAATTCAATTTGAAAGAGGTACTAACGAATGAGGCTTAGAAGGGCTTGGCCTCTTAATATGTTTTTGTTTTACTTGGTTTTTTTTCCGAACGAATCTGTGGCTTTATCATACACAAGTCTATTGACATTTCATTAAGAGGCCCCAGAAAGATTTCTTAGGGTGTGGCTGTTCAATATGGAATTGTAGGTACATTTAAATACGAACGGGGGCTCAGAAGATGATACAAAGTTCTGTCCAAAAGTTACATACGAAGCCTAGATCAGAACTTCTTAGGGTGTGGGCTTCTTACCTAGATTTATAAGCTTCTTATGAGATTCTGTCACGAACAGGCCCCAGAATGGTGTGGCGTTGTGTATAATTAAGTCCTAATTGCATACGAAGCTCTAATGAGGATTTTTTGGGGTGTGGCTTTATAGTACAGACGTCTAATTGAGCTACATTACAAATAAGGGCCAGAAAGGGATTTCATAGGGCGTGGTCCGCAATATAAAATTCTAACGAGGAGGATGTCTTGGGGTTGGCCTCTTAATATGCAAGAGGTTTTCTTGGGTTTAATTTCGAACGAAGCCCAGAAGAGGATTTCTTAGGGTGTGGGTATACAATACAAAATCAAATTACGTTTCATTACGAATGGGGCCAGAGGAGGGTTTCAGAATTATTTTCCTAGGGTATGGGCTTCTTATATAGAAGCAGTTTTTCGATAAACGGGAAGGAAGCCCAGATGAGGATTTCTGAGGCTGTAACCTCTGCATATAATGAGATTCTGTTGCGGACAGGCAGGCCCCAGAAGAGGATTTCATAGGGTGTGGCTTTTAATTGGCAAATTTTGATTTCTAAATGAATTCAGAGAGTGTGGCCCTTTAATATAAATTCCGAATTAGGTTTAATTAAATATCACTTTGATGTGCCCGAAAGGCCTTCTGACCTAGATCATGGGGGGGAGCTATTTTTTTATATTGTAAACTAGAGCCATAGTATGCCGTCTGGAAGCTGAAACTGACATCGGTGATTTACGCTTGAAAGTCATGCCGTAATCAACTGTTCGGGCTTGCAAAGTTTCATGTTGCAGTCAAAACCCTAAACCCTCAACCCTCAACTCTAAACCCTAAACCCTCAACCCTCAACCCTAAACCCTAAACCCTAAGCCCTAAACCCTAGACTCTAAACTGCTTGACATGACAGTGCCAGGATGCCGCCCGAGCAGCAAAGGCGTTCCGGGCACCAGGCGCGTCCGATGCACTCTCGATAAAATCTCGTTCCCGAGAGACGAAGTAGCAAGGAAGGCCGAGAAGATGGGGTTTCGGGGTTCTGGTTTAGGGTTTCGGGTTTGGGGTTTAGGGTTTACGGAATATTGATTACTCGACTTGCAGCAAGAGTAAGCAAGCAACTATCGCTCCTAGTTTCGATCAGAATTGTCATTTACGGCCCCACGCACTTGGCAGACCAGGGCTGACAGGTGACAGCCGTAGCCCTTGACCTTGTTTCGCGCCTGGGGGCTCCGAGAAGAAGCATGGTGGTCCGACCAGAGAGCATCGAAGAGTGGTGCTTCCTGGTGCCGCACCTGTTCTCAGACGAAGGTTGGCAGAGAGTCGTCAAGAAGCCTTCGTCTGCACTATTGCACTGCAGTGCCCCTTGGGGCGGGAGCTTGGTCAAGTTTGTCTTCTACGACCTTCTGGTGTTAGATCCTCCGGAAGATTCGGCCGATGTCTTCATCCGGCCGGAGACGCGAGCATGGACATGGAGCCGTGGCGTAGAAGCCGGGATCGAGGGTGAGGGTCGTGAGTTGCAAGCCCTGATCGCTCCGGGCGATTGCTGCGAGCGCTACTGGGCAGAGTTTAAGTGGAGTCGGCTCTGCGACGCCTTGTTGGGCATGCTTCAGCTGCCTCAGGCGACCGACAGCTTGCGATTCGCACCAAAGGCCCTGCCAGTTGAAACGCGGGAGCGGCTTCGGCGCAACTTTCCGGAGATGGGCGATTGCTCTCTCCTGTGGGGCGACGAGGACCAGCTGTACGATTGTGTCGTACTTTGCCGCCGACAGGAGTCTGGGCACTATCTGTTGCAGCACATCTCGTGGACGGTAAGAGTGCGCCTCCCCTGTTGGGCTCTACCACCTCTGCGTTTGACGCTCGACGTTTTCAGGGCCTCGGCGAACTGGTACCTGAACCGGCCTCAGATTCTCACAGAGCGGCAAAGGGACAAGACACTCTACCTGGTGCTGACCCTCACAAGCTTTAATTGGAAGTGGCCGCTGATCCCTGCCCATGACCCCGGAAGGAAGGGTGTGATAAGAATTGATGCCGGCCGGGACATGGGCCTCGCTACTTGTACGAGCCCCTGGTGGTGGGCGTCAGCCACCAGTTCCATTTCTCAGACTACCTCCGGGTGTTCTTGAAGAGGCTCGGTGAGCGCATCAGCGTTTATCAGTCTTTGGATGGGCAAGAGGTGCTGCCCTACCAGTGCGTTCTGCAGCGGGAGGACTGGCATCGAGTCAGGGAGCGCTTTCGCGCAGCTTACCGCTTGCACAAGACTGCTTGCCGGCACGCCTATGGTGGGAAAGCAGCGCCGAGAATTCTCGAAGACACGACTCCGCGGTTTTGTCGCGAGGTCAGCTTGCGCTCTCTACATCAGCGCCTTGAGCGGGCACAATATCGCAATAGGCTCGTGGTGCGCAACACATTCCTGGAGAGGGAGGAGGACGGCCTGGAGGACGGAAGAGGCTCTGCACGGTACCGCACGACATCGCCCGCTTGTGCTTACCGGGTCAAGTTGTAGACCCACCTGTGCATGTCTGTAATTCAGTAAGGTTCAAATGGTACAGGTGGTGAGATTTCCAGTGCAATTTCTAATCCTGCTCTGCCTCACCACTAACACTGTGGGCAGGGAGCTTTCGATGCTGGGCGTGTAAAGGTGTGCATGCACAGTGCAGAAATGCGCAGTTCGTTCGCGGCACCCACAAGTTGCATTGATTTTGTAAAGTCGCTTACGTCTCGCGCGGTTTGGAACTGACGTCCCACTGTACAGGCCCAAAGGGCAGATGCACGGTCCCAAAACACTTGTGTGCCACTTGTGCAACTGAGTATCCCACCCATGGTTTTGCCCTTGTAGCGCCCCAGACCCAAACCTTCTAAGGTTAACAGGTGTGTAATCACCTCCCCCGAATATTAAACGATACGCTTCGCTCCTTGTAGACGAACTCAGCAGGAATTGCCACAGCTTCCAGTTAGTGCTCTCTTCAAGCCGCTTGTACTGTTGAAGTACGCAGGTTTTTGCAGGGATTCGCAGGCTGATGTGGTTGTCGAGGGAAGCTGCCAGTGGAGCCGAAGCAAAGTAGAAGACTGCGAACGGCCCTTTTGCCGCGCGTCCACACAACTCAGAATACCACATGACCACATGCTCGGGGTTGCACTTTGTGGCAAGTACATTGCTGCATACGCTCAAGGCATCAACTCTGGTCAGTGAAGCATGTACGGTCCCACCCTGAACCCTAAACCCTAAACCCTAAACCCTAAACCCTAAACCCTAAACCCTAAACAACCCTAAACAACCCTAAACAACCCTAAACAACCCTAAACAACCCTAAACAACCCTAAACAACCCTAAACAACCCTAAACCCTAAACCCTGAACCCTGAACCCTAAACCCTACACCCCTGACCATGCTCCATTGTGGAAAGGTGCAATGTTCGACGGCGAAGTCTGAGGCCACCGCATCGACGAGACGGCGTCTTGAGCACTCCTGGAAACGGTGTTTAGGGTTTAGGGGGGTTTTAGGGTTTAGGGTTTAGGTAGTGCTTCTGCTGCTTCTGCCCAAATCAACTGGTTGGATCCAAAATCACTAAACATGAGGGTGGAGCCTGTTTCCATTCTATTTTCACCGTTTCGGTCGCTATGTCATTGCTGGCATAGAAGTGCTCCTTGCAAGCAAGCTCGGCGTGAATCAGGCATCGCTCCCCAATCTGGCTCGAGGTATCACCAGCTCTGTGTGGGGCAATACACGCATTGCTTCATGTGGCAATACATGCATTGCTTCATGCTTCATGCACTACGTGTCGCAAAGACGACTGTGCTTCACGCAGCGGTTGTTTGTCTCCAAAGTAGTTGCGAGTTGAGCATGGCTTTCCCCGGCGCAAACCAGGCCCCTACTGTGTCCCGGCCACACCCATCAAGCTTGTAAGCTGCAATCCAGGATGGGCTACGATACCCTATAATCCCTTAAAAGGCCCTACTATACCCTACAATCCCTTAAAAAGGCCTGATTATTCCCTATAATCCCTCAAAAGGCCCGATTATACACTATAAGCCTATAAGCCAAAGGCCATTTTATGGGGTTGATGATGGGGATTCTGGGGCCTTCTAGTCCATCCTTGGGGGCAGATCGCCCCGGATAAGGCAACACATAGCGCGGCGCTTTGTCAGAACTTTGGCAGGCTGACAGTATGCATAGACCTAGACCCCAAGCCCCTCCAACCTTTCACCCTAAACCCTAAACCCTAAACCCTAAACCCCAAACCCTAAACCCTAAACCCTAAACCCTAAACCCTAAACCCCAAACCCTAAACCCTATACCCTAAACCCTAAACCCTAAACCCTAAACCCGGAAAATCTGCACCGAAGGAGTTCCGGAGTGAGACTTCGCACTCCTGGACGTCGAGGCAGGCGGCAGCTTCGGGGGCTCCGTCTTGGCGAGCCTCATGTTTTGTCTTCAGACTTGTCGGTTGAGGGTAGGGTTTAGGGTTTAGGGTTTAGGGTTTAGGTTTTAGGTTTTAGGGTTTAGGGTTTAGGGTTTAGGGTTTAGGGGTTTAGGGGTTTAGGGGTTTAGGGGTTTAGGGGTTTAGGGGTTTAGGGGTTTAGGGGTTTAGGGGTTTAGGGTGTAGGGTTTAGGGTTTAGGCTTAAGATACCTGGTGGAGGGTTTCGGGCGTTCAGGGCTTAGCAGGTTTTTAGGGTTTTAGGTTTTAGGATTTTAGAGTTTTAGTGTTTTGGGGTTTTAGTGTTTTAGGGGTTTGATACCATTACCAGGTAGGCCCTTGGGGCATGTTATATTCTCCTTTATTGGCCTGAAGAGGATCATGTTTGGGAAATATTATTCAGAGGGATTTAGGTGCCTTCTTGAGCATCCAGTTTAGGGTTTAGGGTTTTGGGTTTAAGGTTTACTGGCGCTGCTGGCAGGTTCCAGGCATTGCTGCTGCAGGTGCAGGAAGAGCACGACCGCCAGCAGTCAGCTCCTCGAATTGCCGAGATGTGCTGAGCAACGATGCAGACGCAGACAGAGGGACCAGAGGGACGAGGGCCTTCACGCATTGCAAGCCCTTACTCCCTTCAAGTCCCCAAGCCTTGAACCCCCACCCCCGAGCTAAACGTATTAAACCCTGAACCCTAAACCCCAAAACCCTAAACCTTAAACCCTAAACCCTAAACCCTAAACCCCAAACCCTAAACCCTAAACCCTAAACGGTTTGCAACCCCTCCTTGAGGTCCGCGCTGCGCCGCGAGGTCGCACGGCTGCGCAGCGAGCTGTGCGACCGCGCGATCGGAGACAAGCCGGGATTCTCAGGAAGTGCCGGGTGCAGGGTTTAGGGTTCAGGGTTTAGGGTTTAGGGTTTAGGGTTCAGGGTTCAGGGTTTAGGGTTTTTAGGGTTTAGGGTTTAGGGTTTCGGGTTTAGGGTGTCGGGTTCAGGGTTTCGGGTTTAGGGTTGAGGGGCTCGGGCTGCTTCGCTTGGGTTTGGGGTTTAGGGTTTAGGGTTTAGGGTTTAGGGTTTAGGGTTTAGGGTTTAGGGTCTATAGGATAGGGTCTAGGGTTCAACATGTTCAACGACCCAAAAAGCTCTACAGTCCGCACAAAGCCCTTGAACACCCAACGCAAGTTCGGAAGCCCAAACCCTAAACCCTAAACCCTAAACCCTAAACCCTAAACCCTAAACCCTAAACCCTAAACCCTAAACCCTAAACCCTAAACCCTAAACCCTAAACCCTAAACCCTAACCCTCCTAGGCCCTAAACCCTAAACCTCCTAAACCCTAAACCCCAAACCCCAATTCCTGAACCCTAAGCCCTAAACCCTAAACCCTAAACCCTAAACCCTAAACCCTAAAGCAAGCACCACCACGGGTGCACCGAGGGGGGAGCCTTGGGTGCCCTCGGAGCGGTCTACAGAGGACGAGAAAGTGGAGGCGGAGGCGACCCCTGGGGGTGCAGGTTTTGGGTTCAGGGTTTAGGGTTTAGGGGTTTAGGGTTTAGGGTTTAGGGTTTGGGGTTTGGGTTTCAGGGTTGAGGGTTTTCCGGGATTGAGCTTGTTTTTGCTTTTGGGGTTTAGGGGTTAGGGCTTGTCCAGCGCTTTGAGGGCTCTCTCGTTCCGCGGCTGCGGGGGCGAAGGTGCTGCGAATTCCTGTCGCTGGCTTTTCATGGGCGCGTCCCTGGCCTCGGGAGAACAGAACTTCCGTTTCCGAAATCCGTACATTGTCCCTTGCGTGGCTCGAGGCGCGTCCAGCCCCCAATGCCAAACCCGAGATCTCAATGCGCCAAACCTTTCCCCAAGAGGCTTCGAGCCAAGCCCAAAGTGAGAGACCTTCATCCTTTGCGTTTGTATGTAAGGAGAAAGGCCCCCGCGAGCGAGCACGATCAGAAAGCAACTCGAGCCTAAAGGGGCAAGGTCAAGACGAGGGTGGAGCGCAAGCGGGAGCGGGCATGTGCGACGAGACACTCCTTAAACCCCAACACGCATTTCCCTAAACCCTATGTTTCCTAAACCCCGCAGCAGACTCAAAAGTCCGAACCCTGACCTGCTTGAACCCCAAGTCCTAGATTCCCAGCCGGCCTGCTCAGGCCGCTTGCCCCCCCTGGAGGCACCCCTTGGAAATATTGAAGTCAGGGGTCTAACCTACCCCCTCACAGAGCCTTCTTCCTCTGGTCCTTTCTGCGACCCTTTCTCATGGCAAACCGCCCCTCCGTGTGACACCCGTGGGTGTGGTGGGCGCCATTTCCACGTTGTACTTATGGCCGCTGCGCACGACGAGACGCCCTACACCCTAAGCCCGAAACCCCAGACCCTAAACCCTAAACTTCAAGCCCAAAACCCTAAACCCCTAAACCCCTAACCCCTAACCCCTAACCCGTAACCCGAAACCCTAAACCCTAAACCCTAAACCCTAAACCCTAAACCTCTAAACTTCAAGCCCTCAACCCCACGAAGTGGCCTGGAGTCCTTCACAGGTCGTCGCCTTGCGAAGCTCGGATGGCGGTAGCCCCAGCGAGAGAAGTAGATTAGGGTTTAGGGTTTAGGGTTTAGGGTTTAGGGTTTAGGGTTTAGGGTTTAGGGTTTAGGGTTACAGGGTTTAGGGTTACAGGGTTTCGGGTTTAGGGGCATTTTAGGGTCGGGCTGAGGGTTGAGAGTTGGCGCTGATTGTTGCCCTTGTCCTTGAAGGCTCTCAGGTAGGATTTATCTAGCGTTTGGGTTTTGGGGCGGACTCTGGGGCACAAGGGGTTTGGGGTTTAGGGTTCCCCAAACCGATCTGTCATCTGATGCTGTCTCACTTCTTCGTTCGCGAATCTTCTCGCGGGTGTCATGTTCGAACGCTCTTTCCTTCCGCGCTGGTGGCCCTCTAGCCTTGTGCTAGGCGGAGCCGTATATGCCCCGCACCCTCAGCTTAGGAGGACAGTTTAAGCCTTTCCCCCTGATAAAAGACCCCCATATTTGTTACTGATAGGACCCCAGTCTACTCGACTCATTTGGTCCCTCGCCATGGCGCTGCAACATCGGGGGAATAGATTCGAGGATGCAAGGCCCCCGAAGCCCTAAGCCCCCTAAACCCTAAACCCTAAACCCTAAACCCTAAACCCTAAACCCTAAACCCTAAACCCTAAACCCTAAACCCTAAACCCTAAACCCTAAACCCTAAACCCTAAACCCTAAACACTAAACCCTAAACCCTAAACCCTAAACCCCTAAACCCCTAAACCCCTAAACCCCTAAACCCCAAACCCCAAACCCTAAGCCCTAAACCCCAAAGCCTAATGTGACATGTTCTGAGGCCCTCTGCTGCAACTCTCCGGCGTGATTCCGGCAACTTCTCGGCAGAAGGGGGTGTTGGGAACCCTAAAGCCTAAAACCCTAAAACCCTAAAACCCTAAAACCCTAAAACCCTAAAACCCTAAACTCTAAACCCTAAACCCTAAACCCTAAACCCTAAACCCTGAACCCAAAAATGCTGCTGAGGTCGCCCCCCTGCCTCAGAAGCCAAAGGTGGCCTCTCGGAACTCTGACGAGCGGCTTGAAGGCTTCGGGTCGAGGGTGTTGGGCTTGGGGTTTAGGGTTTAGGGTTTAGGGTTTACGGTTTAGGGTTTAGGGTTTAGGGTTTAGGGTTAGGGTTTAGGAATGAGGGTGGGTCATGGAACTGGGTAGGTAGGTTCTAGTCAGCGGAATCTGAGTTGTAGCCATTTAAGTCGAAAGCAATCGAGACACCCCAGACCAACAAATATATGTGTGTCATTCGCTGGCTCGCTCCTGCATTTGTTCAAGCTGAGGTGTCGTTCGACGATCCCGTGCCCGCCGGCTCTGCTTTCCTGAGTGAAGCTTCGCAGGACATCCCCCCCAAGCTCCAAACCCCAACCCCAAACCCCAAACCCCAGACCCCAAATCCCAAACTCCAAACTCCAAACCCCAAACCCCGCACCCCACACCACCCCGCACCACCTCGCACCCCGCACCCCACACCCCAAACCCCAAACCCCACACTCCAAACCCCACACCCCACACCCCACACCCCGAACCCCAAACCCCAAACCCCGAACCCCAAACCCCACACCCCACACGCCACACCCCACACCCCACACCCCACACCCCACACCCCACACCCCACACCCCACACCCCACACACCACACCCCGAACCCCGAACCCCAAACCCCAAACCTCAAACCCGAAACGCCAGGCCAAGTGAGAGCGACAAAATGAGGGTTTAGACCCCCAAATAGTAGGATCCCCTCATAATAGGGACCCCAAAAAGGTTGAGGTACCCTTAAACCCTGAACCCCCTAAACCCTAAACCCTAAACCCTCCTAGCCCTAAACCCCAAACCCCAAAACCCTAAACCCTCCTAGCCCTAAACCCCAAACCCCAAAACCCCAAACCCCAAACCCCAAGCCCTAAACCCTAAACCCTAAACCCTAAACCCTAAACCCTAAACCCTAAACCCTAAACCCCTAAACCCCTAAACCCTCGACCCTATTAGCGCAATACCGCTAAAATGAGCAGCCCTCGGCCTACTGGGCAGGTTGAAACCATCCGCAGCCGCGCGAGCCTGGACAGCAAGGCCGGCCCACTCTTAGGTGTTTTTGAGGGTTTAGGGTTTAGGGTTTAGGGTTTTGGGGCTTGGGGTTTAGGGTTGAAGGTTTAGGAGGTTGCATGGTGCACTGTCTGGTCCCTGAAGCCAATAACGCGGGCTTAATTCAAGGTACCAGTTGAGTGTCCTTACACCTAACCCTAAACCCTAAACCCTAAACCCTAAACCCTAAACCCTAAACCCTAAACCCTAAACTCTGAACTTTAAACCCTAACCGCTAAACCCTGCACCCTAAACCCTAAACCCTAAACCCCGTTGCCTTCTTGGTGGCACCTTAAGAGCAGCATAGCCTAGCTCAGTGAAGGGATTTCGCAGACTTCCATGAGTTTTGGGTTTACTGAGGTTCAGGGCTCAGGTTTCGTGGGAGTTCGGTTTTCAGGGCTTAGAAACCCTAAACCCTATACCCTAAACCCTAAACCCCAAACCCTAAACCCGAAACCCTATACCCTGAGCTTAAAACCCTAAATTGTTGGGATTCATTGTTCCCCCTTAAAACCCTAAATTGTTGGGATTCATTATATATCCCTAAACCCTAAAACCCAAACCCTAAACCCCAAACCCTAAACCCGAAACCCTATACCCTGAGCTCAAAACCCTAAATTGTTGGGATTCATTGTTTCCCCTTAACACCCTAAATTGTTGGGATTTATTATATATCCCTACTAAACCCTAAAACCTAAATCCTAAACCCTAAACCCTATACCCTGAGTTAAAACCCCAAAATGTTGGGATTTATTGCTTCCCCTCAGGCCACCTTCCGACAGCGCGACGTTTGGCGCTCGGAGACTGGAGTCCTGGACCAAGGCTTCCGCTGCCAGGGAAAACCGTTTAGGGTTTAGGGTTTAGGGTTTAGGGGTTAGGGGTTAGGGGTTTAGGGTTTAGGGTTTAGGGTTTAGGGTAAAACCTCCAGACCGCCTTCAACACTGAACTGTGAATCCCTGGACTTAACTCTGGCACCCCAAACCCTGGTGAAATCCTTAACCCTAACCCTGAAACCCTCAACCCGATACCCGAAGCCCAGGTATGAGCGGACTCTACGCTAAACCCTAAACCCTAAACCCTAAACCCTAAACCCTAAACCCTAAACCCTAAACCCTAAACCCTAAACCCTAAACCCTAAACCCTAAACCCTAAACCCTAAACCCTAAACCCTAAGCCCTAAACCCTAAACCCTAAACCCTAAACCCTATAAGGGTCCCTCCTTGAGTCCCCTGATTGTCGCGCAGAATGGTCCCCGCAGCACTACATCAAGGGCCACCAGACCTTGAAGAGGCGCGCGCGAGTGCAATTCAGGGCACAGGGGTCTAGGGTTCAGGGGTCTAGGGGTCTAGGGTTTAGGGTTCAGGGTTCTAAGTTCTAGGGTTTAGGGTTTAGGGTTCAGGGTCTAGGGTTTACGGCTTAGGTGTTCTTGGGTTTGCAGGTGTATTTAGGGTTTCTGTAGGGTGTCGGGTGCGTGTGGGTTTTGGGGGTTTGGGCTCCATTTAGGGTTTGGGGTTTAGGGTTTGAGGGTTTAGGGTGTTCAGGTTTTTAGGGGTTGGGGTTCAGGGTTAAGTTGAGGTTTGCAGGGTTTCCAGGGTGTTTTTGGTCTTTGGGGAATGTTAGGGTTTAGGATGCTACAATTTTAGGCTTTAGGGTTCAGTTTTTTTGGGATTTTGGGTTTTTATGTGAGAGGAATTGAGCGCCTCTCCTGATGCAGGAAGCAGGAGAACCTCTTCCAACGCAGTGCCGCGTCTGCACGACGGTTTGCTTGTATTGGAAGCCACTGAACCCCTAAACGTTACGCTTTAAATTAAATCCTCGGATAAATAGACGCTGTACATTTCCTTCATGTTCCCGTGCACCAACACGACAAACGAGCTGGAATTGCTTAGAATTAAGAATAACCTGAAGTAACCCTAAACCCTAAACCTTGATAGACCTCCAACCTTTCCACCCAAAGCAAAAAAATCGAAGCTCAAACCCTGAAGACTTTCGCTCAAGGCTTTCGCTTAACACTCCGGCCGCGGACGCTATGCAATTTGCGTAAGCACTAAACCCTACGCCCCCCACCCCAAACCCTAAACCCCAAACCCTAGCCCTAAACCCCAAACCCTAAACCCTTCTCAACCCCAAAGCCCCAAACCCCAAAACCCCAACGCCCCCCCAGATCCTGAGTGCCCTTTTTGAGGGCCGTGCCCTTGAGGGGTGTATAAGGGTTCTTAGGGTTTAGGGTTTAGGGTTTAGGGGCCCATAGGTTCAAGGACAATGTAACTATACCCTAAACCCTAAACCCTAAACCCTAAACCCTAAACCCTAAACCCTAAACCCTAAACCCTAAACCCTAAACCCTAAGCCCTAAACCCTAAAACCCTAAACCCTCAACCCTAAACCCTAAACCCTAAACCCTAAACCCTAAAACCCCTAAAACCCCTCAACCCCTAAGCTACCTTGAGGTGCCCGCACCATGGAGATGATCCCTTCAGTGAATTGCGGCTCTTGTCTCCTGCTCCTACATCGTCGCGGCCTGGGCAGCAAGTGCGAAGGCTTTAGGGTTTAGGGTTTAGGGTTTAGGGTTTAGGGTTTAGGGTTTAGGGGTTTTAGGGTGCATTTGGGATTGATTTAGGGTTTTTGTATGAGATGAGTCGGTTTTGCGAAGGTTCATTTTTTCAGGTTCGGGTCTTTGCAGGGCTCTTGAGGGCTTTCAGGGTGTTTCAACGCTCTTTTCCAGCATTTTGGGGGTTCTTAGGGTTTTGGGGATTTCTGGTGGGATTGGGAGGCTTAATGCCCCTAAACCCGAAAACCCTAAACCTTCTTCGCGAAACCCTAAACCCTAAACCCTAAACCCTAAACCCTGAAGACAAACAGGTCCTATCCCGCCCTCGACGCCCCTCCGCTTGGTTTGGGACTTGAGCGGCCTCGCACTCATCATGCGCCTCAGCTGAATGGAGGTGTAGCGTAGGGATCAGGGTTGGGGGCTGGGATTTGAGGTTTGTGTTGCAGTTGGGTTTAGGGTTTAGGGTTTAGGGTTTAGGGTTTAGGGTTTAGGGTTTAGGGTTTAGGGTTTAGGCTTGAGGGCTTTAGGCTTAAGAGCTTCGGGGCTTAGCGGTACGTTTGCATGTCCTGTGGAGTGACAGGCCAGGGCAAGATGGCCCTGAAACCCTCAACCCGAAGCCTTAAACCCTAAAACCCTCAACTTCAGCCCTACACCCTCAACCCTCAACCCTCAACCCTCAACCCTACACCCTAAACCCTAACCCCTAAACCCTAAACCCTAAACCTTAAACCCTCAACCCTCAAACCCTCAACCCTAAAACTCCTTCAAGCCTCGGGTTCCAGGTATGACATCTGCGCGATCCCGTTGGAGGCCTTCGACTTTCCAAGGTGGGAGCAGTGCGCCTCCACCCTCGAAACCGCGCTGAAACCCTCTCTATAAATCCTCAACCTTCAGAGTTTAGGGTTTAGGGTTCAGGGTTTAGGCTTTAGGGTTTAGGATCTAGGGTTTAGGGTTTAGGAACCCTAAGCCCTATAAACCCGAAGTCTTCAACCCTGGCAGTTTCCTGCATGTGTGGGTCTGTGCTGGGTGCCGTAGGACGCTGAACCCCATAACCCCTAAACCCTAAACCCTGAACCCCAAACCCTAAACCCTAAACCCTAAACCCTAAACCCTAAACCCTACACCCTAAACCCTACCATGCCCTTAACATGGGTTGCTAAGGAACTCACAGAAAAGAACATGGTGTACAGTCATACATGATGTTGCTTCCTGTTCAGGGTAGCTGAATCTACATCCCTACTAAACCCCAAACCCCAAACCCCAAACCCCAAACCCCAAACCCCAAACCCCAAACCCCAAACCCCAAACCCCAAACCCTAAACCCTAAACCCTAAACCCTGTGTAGGGCAACTTAAGTTACCTTGTTGTTGGCAATCCTGGAGAGCTTGTTATTGGCGCGCGCCCGTGGAATCTGCAACGCAAGGATTCTCCTGCAGGATGTGATGGATTGGCTTGCTTTGGCGGCCCAGCTGCGAGAGGGTTTAGGGTTTAGGGTTTAGGGTTTAGGGTTTAGGGTTTAGGGTTTAGGGTTTAGGGTTTTGGGATGACAAGGAACAGAAATCTCAGCCGGTGTTCGGGGGGGTAAGCCCCTCACGTGAGTGGAGTTAGATCGTGTAAGTTTGCTTCAGCTGGTCCTGCTTTGGCCAAGATTTTCTGGACGGTGGACGTGGCATTCAGCTTTGTCACGGGCTACTACCACAATGGCCAGCTAATTTTGGCCGCTCTGCTCAACTGACTAGGGTTTAGGGTTTGGGGTTGAGGGTTTAGTACTTGGATGTTTTGAAGGCTTGCTCATTGCCCATAGCCTTGAGCGAGAGACATTGCGAAGGCCTCTGTCCATCCCTTGATTATCGGCTGAGGGTTTGCTGGTGTCCTCCTTTATGCAAACCCACCCCGAATCCGAAGCCAGCACCAGCACTCAGGACCCCCACAAGATCGCCATTCATTACCTGACCACCTGGTTCTTCCTGGATATTGTCTCAAGCCTTGCAAGTGCTTCCTGCGCTGCGGTGTTGGATGTTAAGGGTGGATAGAGGTCACAGTTTTCTGCTGGTGCGCCCGGGGCTATGGTTGCCGTATATTGTGATTGTCAGCAGGGTGTAGTATCCCTAAATAGTGAATAGCCTTCAGTGTGGGGGGCCTACCCCTAAACCCGAAACCCGAAACCCTAAACCCTATAGAGGGGAGCCAGGCGAACCCATGAGTTCTGCATAGGGGCTGGATTGGGTGTCGCTTGGAGTCGTGTCCTACTGCCCCGCAGCTCCCCACACCATGCAGCATGTGTAATTGTGGGTTTGCCACCCTAAACCCTAAACCCCTTGTTGGGTTGGGGGGAGGTTGGTGGTTGACGCGGTGTTGGTGGCACGATCCATATTCCGGGTTTTGAGGTTTCTGGGGGTGTAAGGGAGGGGAGGGGGAGGGTTCCCGCCCCTACAACCATCCAACACGCCGCCCAGGGTTACACCCTAAACCCTAAACCCTAAACCCTAAACCTAAACCCTAAACCCTAAACCCTAAACCCTAAACCCTAAACCCTAAACCCTAAACCCTAAACCCTAAACCCTAAACCCTAAACCCTAAACCCTAAACCCTAAACCCTAAACCCTCGACCCTAAACCCTAAACCCTAAACCCGAAACCCTGCCCCAAGGCGGTCATCGTCCCCGAATGGCTTACCATGACCGGGTCCGACTCCCTTAGCTATGCTGGGATGCGTGGCCCAAAAACAAATGGTTAGGGTTTAGGGTTTAGGGTTTAGGGTTTAGGGTTTAGGGTTTAGGGTTTAGGGTTTAGGGTTTAGGGTTTAGGGTTTGGGACTTTGGGTTTTGGGTTCAGGCTTTAGGGCTTGAGGGGTTTTGAGGTTTTGGGGTCTTGGTTTTGTTTATTGGCATTAGTGTTTTTTGGAAGTGGGGTGGGGCGGGTTTGGGGTTTGGGTGGGTTTAGCCCGAAACCCGAAGACCCTGCAAAGGCTACATGAGGCCTTAAAACTTGAACCCTGAACCCTAAACCCTAAACCCTAAACCCTAAACCCTAAACCCTAAACCCTAAACCCTAAACCCTAAACCCTAAACCCTCAACTTGCTACAACTTAACTTGCACGCGACGTAAAGCCAGTCCGAATCTCTAGCGAGTGGGTCGTCTTGCTTGTATGATAGAGAAGGTGGTAAGAAAGAACAAATTGATTACACAACGAACATCGGGAGGGTCGGGCGGGCAGCAAGCAGCCGCGCGTCAGGCTTGCCACACCCTAAACCCTAAACCCTAAACCCTTAACCCTAAACCCTAAATCCTAAACCCTAAGAACCTTATCATGGCTCGCTGGGTCTTGCGCAGCTCAGGATTGGACGTGCCCTGAGGCCATGGACACCGGCTTTAGGGGAGGGGGGGGGGGGGGGGGGGTGATTTTTCCAAACCCTAAACTTGGGATGTTCCCCCCTTTTACTAACAGTCCTTAATAGGGATGAACATAGGGGGTACTATAATCCCTACTAAGGACTGCTAGTATAAGGGGGAACATCCTAACACCAAACCCTTAACCCTAAACATCTGAACCGTGGGATGTCGAAGAAGGATGATCGTACCCCCTGTTATCATCCCTATTAAGGGTTTCGGGTTTAGGGTTTAGGGTCTAGGGTTTAGGGACTGTTAAGGGGGAACATCCCAACCTGAACCCCAAAACCTCAGAACTCCTTAGCCTCTGAACCGCAGGCTTGCGGTCTCGGCGAGTTGAGCTGGTTGCAAGCCTTTCTTAACGCCCACTTCAGGGTCAAGGCCTAACCCTAAACCCTAAACCCTAAACCCTACACCCTAAACCCAAAACCCAAAACCCAAAACCCTAAACCCTAAAGACAGCGAACTCGAAACTCGTCCAAGCTTGGAAATCCCGCCTTCAGGTTGGGCAAGACCATGCGGGTGGTCAGGCTTCTGCGCGTCTTGAAGCTAAGGCGCGGTTCGGGTTCAGGGTTCAGGGTTCAGGCTTTAATCTTGGGGGCTTTGTAGGGCTTGTAACTAGGGTTTAGGATGTAGAGCCAGTAGGGGCTTAGCTTTCGTGGGTTTTTGGGCAATCATGGCTGAGAGTGCCAGAATTTGGGGAGATCTTGGATGTAGAGGATCAAGCCGAAAGGTGTTTAGGGTCTCAGGCGCTCCATTCTCCTAAGGGTAGTTCCATGGTCCCTTGATACGGTTCCTTTGCCTTTCTTAAAAAAAGGGGGTCTGAAATAAGGGCCCTTGATTTTGTATCGGCTACATACAGGGGGGCCCCTTTTCAGGGCCCGTGCTCATTCTACTTAGACAAGTCTGGAAGCCTTCCAAGCTGAGACCAAAACCTAAACCCTAAACCCCAAACCCCAAACCCCAAACCCCAAACCCTAAACCCTAAACCCCAAACCCCTAAACCCTAAACCCCAAACCCTGATTTCGAAGGCGCATCTTGGATGCAGTCCTGGAGAGGATCCAGAGTGAGCCAGAGCCCCAAAAGCTGTTTTTCTTTGGGGGGGGGGGGACTAAACGGCTGAGGACTTAGGGTTGAGGGTTCAGGGGTTTAGGGTTTCTGGTTCAGGGTTTAGGGTTTGGGGTTTCGGGTTTACGGCTTTGGGGCTCAGGGTTTAGGGTTTAGGGCTTAGGTTCGAAGGGCTTACGGCGCAGAGAGAGGCGGGCGGGGTAGGGGGGGGTGTTTTGGGCTTAACATGGGGATTGAGCGCCTTGGGATGTTCCCCTCTAGACTCACAGTCCCTAATCGGGTTAGGGTTTAGGGTTTAGGGTTTAGGGTTTAGGGTTTAGGGTTTAGGGTTTAGGCCTCGTGGGTCGTGCGATCCACCCCGGCTGTCCTGAGGTTCACTTTCCTGCTCATCTCCCTCTTTCGGCTGCTGCTGCTATGGCTTCAAGACCCTAAACCCTAAACCCTAAACCCTAAACCCTAAACCCTAAACCCTAAACCCTAAAACCTAAACCCTAAACCCTAAACCCTAAACCCCTAAATCCCTGAATCCCTGAATCCCTAAACCCCTAAGTACGTAGGACCTTTAGGGTCTATTTGGCACGCCTCGTTTGCCGCCGGGAAATCCCTAGATTTGATTTTTCAAGGATTTCATGAAATTTAAAATGCCCAAAAAACCCTTGAAATCCTTAAAAAATCAAATCCCGGGATTTAATATTTTAAGGATTTCAAGGATTTTTTGGGCATTTTAAATTTCATGAAATCCTTGAAAAATCAAATCCCGGGATTTAGTTTTTCAAGGATTTCAAGGATTTCATAAAATTTAAATACCGGAAAACCTCCCCTCCCCACCCAGAGTACGGGAAGACCACGCGGATTTTAAAATTTATGAAACCCTTGAAATCCTTGAAAAATTAAATCCCGGGATTTAATTTTTCAAGGATTTCATAAAATTTAAAATGCCCAAAAAATCCTTGAAATCCTTAAAAATCAAATCCTGGGATTTAATATTTTAAGGATTTCAAGGATTTTTTGGGCATTTTAAATTTTATGAAATCCTTGAAAAATCAAATCCCGGGATTTATTTTTCAAGGATTTCAAGGATTTCATAAATTTTAAAATCCGCGTGGTCTTCCCGTACTCTGAGTGGGGAGGGGGGGGTTTGCTTTTGCAGGAGTTCCGGTATTTAAATTTTATGAAATCCTTGAAATCCTTGAAAAATCAAATCCCGGGATTTAATTTTTCAAGGATTTCATAAAATTTAAAATGCCCAAAAAATCCTTGAAATCCTTAAAAAATCAAATCCTGGGATTTAATATTTTAAGGATTTCAAGGATTTTTGGGCATTTTAAATTTCATGAAATCCTTGAAAAATCAAATCCCGGGATTTAATTTTTCAAGGATTTCAAGGATTTCATAAATTTTAAAATCCGCGTGGTCTTCCCGTACTCTGAGTGGGGAGGGGGGGGGTTTGCTTTTGCAGGAGTTCCGGTATTTAAATTTTATGAAATCCTTGAAATCCTTGAAAAATTAAATCCCGGGATTTGATTTTTCAAGGATTTCATAAAATTTAAAATGCCTAAAAAATCCTTGAAATCCTTAAAAAATCAAATCCCGGGATTTGATATTTTAAGGATTTCAAGGATTTTTTGGGCATTTTAAATTTCATGAAATCCTTGAAAAACCAAATCCCGGGATTTAATTTTTCAAGGATTTCAAGGATTTCATAAATTTTAAAATCCGCGTGGTCTTCCCGTACTCTGAGTGGGGAGGGGGGGGTGTTGCTTTTGCAGGAGTTCCGGTATTTAAATTTTATGAAATCCTTGAAATCCTTGAAAAATTAAATCCCGGGATTTGATTTTTCAAGGATTTCATGAAATTTAAAATGCCCAAAAAATCCTTGAAATCCTTAAAAAATCAAATCCCGGGATTTAATATTTTAAGGATTTCAAGGATTTTTTGGGCATTTTAAATTTTATGAAATCCTTGAAAAATCAAATCCCGGGATTTGATTTTTCAAGGATTTCAAGGATTTCATAAATTTTAAAATCCGCGTGGTCTTCCCGCACTCTGAGTGGGGAGGGGGGGGGGGGTTTGCTTTTGTAGGAGTTCCGGTATTTAAATTTTATGAAATCCGTGAAATCCTTGAAAAATCAAATCCCGGGATTTAGTTTTTCAAGGATTTCATGAAATTTAAAATGCCCAAAAAATCCTTGAAATCCTTAAAAAATCAAATCCCGGGATTTAATCTTTTAAGGATTTCAAGGTTTTTTTGGGCATTTTAAATTTTATGAAATCCTAAAATCAAATCTCGGGATTTGATTTTTCAAGGATTTCAAGGATTTCATAAATTTTAAAATCCGCGCGGTCTTCCCGTACTCTGAGTGGGGAGGGGGGCGTTTGCTTTTGCAAGAGCTCCGGTATTTGAAGTTTATGAAATCCTTGAAATCCTGGAAAAACTAAATCCCGGGATTTAATTTTTCAAGGATCTCATGAAATTTAAAATGCCCAAAAAATCATTGAAATCCTTAAAGAACTAAATCCCGGGGATCGGTTTAGGGTTTAGGGTTTAGGGTTTAGGGTTTAGGGTTTAGGGTTT